TCCATGGTTAATGCCGTCTTACCTCTATGTAGGTTGACATATCAATTGGAATTGTCCCTGGAAGTAGGTTATTCTGAATGGGCCAGTAGGGTTATCTGGTGACTGTATTTTCAATTTGTCTCTATTCCCTCTTCCTGCTCCCCGTCCCCCACCCTAACTCTTGCAAATTGCTATACCTGGAATCACCGTAGGAGAAATATGTTTATCTACCCATATGGAAGAATAATATATTTGAAATATATTTTAAAAATATTCTTTTAAAATATAATGCCATATATTTAAAATGCTACAATTTTGGCCATATTCAATATATTTCACAATATATTTCAATAATAAAGTATATATATACTGCATGTTGAAGTGCATTTTTGTTACAAAATATATGAAAAATATTTTTAAAAATACATTTCAAATATAATGTATGTCTTTAAAAATTCAATTCTACATTATTGGAATGCATTTACAAATATATGTAAAAATATATGTTAAAATGACTTTTTTACATGTTAAAAAAATCTGAAGAATATATTTAAAAAAATATATTTTTAAAAATATATATATTTTTAAAGATATTCTTCAGATTTTTTTTTTTTACATATATTTGTAAATGCATTCCAGAAATGTAGATTTGTACTTTTAAAGACATACAGTATATTTGAAATGTATTTTTAAAAATATTTTTTATATATTTTGTAATAAAAACACATTTCAACATGCAGTATATATATATATATATATAGAGAGAGAGAGAGAATATGGCCAAAATCATAGCATTTCAAATACATGGCAATATATTTGGGAAGAATATTTTAAAAATATATTTCAAATATATTTTTCTTCCATGTGGGTAGTATCTGCAAATTTTCCTTCCTGGAATATGTATTGCAGTATAATCCCTTTATCCATGTAATGACCAACCCAGTCTGTACTCTGTTGGACCTTTTTTTCCTTTATTCCAATAAAGACATCCTGACTGGTAAAAAATATGTATGCAGTATATTACTAACTGGTTTGGCAAATTATAAACTGACATAAAGATTTATTTACCTAAATATTTGTAATACAAATTATACAGGGCAGCACTGTTAAAAAAAAAAAAAAAATGAAACAGCAATAAACACCATAGTTTGTTGCAGATCAATGGAGCATGCACAGTACAGCGAAAGAAGTGGTTAAACCTTCAAGAAGGAAATGTCTTGCTGGTGTACAGTACTGATTTTGTATGTTCGGTTACGATAATATCTGCAAGTTACCAGCAGAGGGAGTCAGTTGGGTAAACAGTAACATAAACACTATCATTTAATTTGAGATGTCTTAGGTTAAATGCATAGCGGTGTGTTTACATACATTGTGCAATGTAGCATGTCCTGGGCACATAGGTAGGGTACAGGATGACATATAACAGAACTGACAAGATGAAGATTGCAGTTTTTGTATAAATGATGTAGCTTCAGAGCACACTGAAAAAAGTAAAGACTGCAAACGGCATTTAGTTCCCAAAAAATGAGCTGCTGCGTCCATAGTGCGTATGGTTACTAGTAACCCCGATGGCACACACGCATTTTCACTGCTGATTTTATTTTCACTGCTGATTTTATTTTCACTGCTGCTGATTTATTTATTTATTTTTTATGCAATGTGCCCCATGTTAAGTTTTATCAGCACTGTATAGACTTGAACAGGAATAAATAAATATATATATATATTTATATTACATTTGAATATATTATATTTATATATATATATCATATTTATTATTTGAATATTATATTTCACCCAATCTTATATATTATAAATTAAAAAAAATATTTATATATATGTATATATTATATTTACATTTGAATATATTATATTTATATATATATATATATTATATTTAATATTTGAATATTATATTTCACCCAATCTTATATATTATAAATTAAAAATTATATTTATATATATGTATATATTATATTTACGTTTGAATATATTATATTTATATATATTATATTTTAATATTTGAATCTTATATTTCACCCAATCGTGTGTACTTAACGCATTTTTTTAGTTTGATTATTCCTTTGCTTGTGTAGCGCTACCCTCGAGAGGGCCGCTGTGTTTTCAGATCCACTTTAGTTCTGCACAGCCAGGCAACACGCATTTTCCACACTTGCATCCACAGTCAGTGAACAGTTTTGGTTTTTGTTATTTTATTAGGGGAAATAACTTGGATAGGGTAAAAGGGATTATGGGATGCCCAATTTTGGTAAAACAATGCACAAGGACAACTTCCTTTCTATTTACAGAAACAGATCCTGGACAGTTCTTTTTCCTGGAAAGTCGTCAGTCTGTACAGATCAGTAGCAATTGCCCCTTATGGGCGAGGGACTCGCAGCCCCCCTTGAAAATGAGCTTAGCTTGCTGCAAACTACATGCAGAGGTTTCTCCGCTCCCCTGTAGAACTGCTCCCAGATCCACAGTTTGCAGACACTACCAGCACTCCTGGCTGCTCTGAAGATCTCCCGGAACAAGGATAAAGGATTAAGCACAATGCTGCTCTTTGAAAGCTGGCTACATGTGGCAGACTGTCCCCTTGTAAATCTCTGGGTGTGCTGATGTACTCGCTCTGTCCTTGCTCCCACTGCTCACAGGCCTTGATCCTGTTCAAGCCGTACTGCTTAATGGAGCCAGCCAGAGCCCAGCTTGGGGACCAGCCCCCTTAGGCCTAGGGGACCCCTCCAGGCCACCAACAATCTCCTCAGCACTCCATCTTCCACATGACTCCACTGCCAACCGAACTCTCTCATATATTTATAGGCTGGTCCACCACTCTACCGTGGCCTTCGATCTGGGGATTGGTTAGACTCCCATAAACATGCAGATTAGGTCTCCACCTTTTCTGCCTACTGGCTTCTGAAAGGTTCCATTGGTCCTCCAGAACCAGGTGGAGGCAATAGAGTCCCAACTTGTTAAGCCATCCAGTTTGACCTGCAGTAACCCGACCTTAATCACAGACTCACACAGTTACTATGAGTCGTATAAAATAGATTTGCCTACACTATTATAGTAGCAGACTGGAGGGTGCTACATTTGTATGGCTGAGGAGTAGACACCACCTTTAAGGCTATGCCCAAATTATTTTACTATAAAAATGGCAATAAAATTAGACATTTGCTATAAAGAAATGTGAATGTGCCAAGTGCCCAAAAGTGTCATGTGCTTAAAGCCTAAGTTTAGTAAACAATTTTAAAAAATCAGCTCAAGAGACTTTACTTACTATCAATAAGATGTGTCCCTTGTGCGGGTGGCTCCTGCTTTAGTCGAAATCTTTCTCCGCTGATCATTCTCCATCATAGTCTTACAGCGGAGCCGGGGTTAACAGCCAAAGGATCTGTCATGTGCACTCATCAGGAACGATGACCATGCCCATTGATCTGGTAAAATCGTCCAATATGTCCCTTTGACAGAATTCAATCAAATGATTGATCAAAATTTGGCTGCGGGAGTGTGTGTGTGTGAGTGGAGGGTGCAATCAGAGGAGGAAGGTTGCAACTAAAACAGAAGCTCTATGCCCACTCCTTCTTCCCCCTCCTCCATTTGTAGAAGCTGTACTATATCTTCTATCAATGAAAAGCGATCTATGAATGGAGGATGAGCAATGCATGAATGCTGGTTTTAGTGTATTCTGACAGCAGCAGGTGCCACTGTCAGAATACAAAGTACCTGCGGGGGAAGGGGGAGGGGATCACTCCACCAACATTATTTGCGGCTGAGCTGGCTTTATCATTAAGGCACAAAATATTTGTTGATTTTGCCAAAAAACTCTTGAGCTGATAAATTCTGGTGCTCTCTGCCTGGACACATTGAGGGATTATGGAGATAAGGAGGAGGGGTTAGGAGAATGAGGAGGTGGGGTTATTGAGATGGAGGGGAGGGGTTATGGAGATGGAGAGGTGGGGTTACGCAGATGGGGAGGAGGTGTTATGAAGATGAGGAGGTGGGGTTATGGAGATGAGGAGGCGGGTTATGGAGATGAGGAGGTGAGGTTATGGAGATGGGGAGGAGGGGTTATGGTGATGAGTAGGTGGAGTTATGCAGATGGAGAGGAGGTGTTATGAAGATGAGGAGGTGGAATTATGGAGATGGAGAGGAGGTGTTATGGAGATGAGGAGGTGGGGTTATGGAGATTAGGTGGGGTTATGCAGATGGGGAGGAGGTGTTATGAAGATTAGGAGGCGGGGTTATGGAGATGAGGAGGTGGGGTTATGCAGATGAGGAGGATGCATTATACGGATGAGGAGGAGGGGATTATGGAGATGAGGAGGAGGGGATATGAAGATGAGGAGGTGGGGTTATGGAGATGAGGTGAGGTTATTGAGATGAGGAGGTGGGGTTATGCAGATGGGGAGGAGGCGTTATGAAGATGAGCTGGTGGAGCGGTAATGGATGGAAATGAGGAGGTGGGGTTATGGAGATGAGGTAGGGTTATGCAGATGGAAAGGAGGTGTTATGAAGATGAGGAGGAGGGGCTATGGAGATGAGGAGGTGAGGTTATGGAGATTAGGAGGTCGGGTTATGCAGATGAGGAGGCATTAAAAAAATGAGCTGGAGGTGTTATGGAGATGAGGAGGTGGGGTTATGGAGATGAGGTGGGGTTATGCAGATGGGGAGGAGGCATTATGATGATGGGGAGGAGGTGTTATGGAGATGAGGAGGAGGGGTTATGAAGATGAGGAGGTGGGGTTATGGAGATGAGGAGAGGTTAGAGATTATGCAAGGTCTTTGTTCTTTCTAAGATATCAAAAATAAAGTCAACAAGTCTGACACCACATGCTTAGAAATTCAGAGCCAAAAATGCTGCTATGTCAAAGAAAAAGGAAGTAGCACACTATTTTTTGGTATTTTCCTGTATGTGCACCATGAGTAAAAGGGTCAACGTGGGGAAATGTACATGTTTGCAGAAATGTACAAAATGTATTTTTTTTTTTTTAAACTTTGCTTTTAAAGTGTTACTAAACCCAGGACCCTGTATTCACGATATCTGGTCTCCCCGGACCCTGTATTCACTATATCTGGTCTCCCCGGACCCTGTATTCACTATATCTGGTCTCCCCGGACCCTGTATTCACTATATCTGGTCTCCCCGGACCCTGCATTCACTATATCTGGTCTCCCCGGACCCTGCATTCACTATATCTGGTCTCCCCGGACCCTGTATTCACTATATCTGGTCTCCCAGGACTCTGCATTCACTATATCTAATCTCCCCGGTCCCTACATTCACTATATCTGGTCTCCCCGGACCCTGTATTCACTATATCTGGTCTCCCCGGACCCTGTATTCACTATATCTGGTCTCCCCGGACCCTGTATTCACTATATCTGGTCTCCCCGGACCCTGCATTCACTATATCTGGTCTCCCCGGACCCTGTATTCACTATATCTGGTCTCCCAGGACTCTGCATTCACTATATCTAATCTCCCCGGTCCCTACATTCACTATATCTGGTCTCCCACAGTACACACAACATGGGAATGCAAATATTTTAGTATATTTACTGCTAATTACCTTTTCTCATCAGCAGTTAGAGCAGTCTTGTGAGGTCTATCAGTGTCCAGCGCAGAGCAGTTTTCATTTTGATCTAGGAGATTGAAGAATCCCTTACCTCTGTCAGGACAGTGCTGATTGGCTCTGTGCTGATCACATGCACCCTCCCAAAGAAAAAACAAAACAAAAAACCTCTCTAGCAATACACACCAAACTGAGCATGTGCAGAGTGACTCCACACAACATGTCTTATCAGGAGATAAGAGGGGGACACTGGAAGAAGGGGAGGATCAGAGCAGTCAGGATCAAACAGCATTTTTACACAATGTAGAGGATTATTCCTCAAGGTTGCAGAGTGAGTATAACAAGCATGCTTTACTGCATATACAGACTGATTTTACTGTTGTGGGTTTAGTAGCACTTTAACTAAGCTTTTAGCCATTCTATTATCATTTTACCCTTGATGTGTACATCCAGGGATTTTTTTCAATAGGAATGCAGGGGGAACGCAGTTCTGGTACTTCCAGTACTGGATGTACGTAATGGCAAGGGGTGCTGGAAGTCCTATTGATACTGGATGTATGATACTGGCTGCAACTAACGATTATTTTAATAATTGATTAGTTGGCCAATTATTGTTTCAATTAATCTATTAATCAGATAAAAACCTCAAAAGAGTGTGGTGTGTAATCTAGTTAATATGTAGAGTTTTAAAAATGACAATTTATCCTTGAATATCTATAGGCAGTGGTAAATACAAATAACCAGCTGTATGGTTGGGAAAAAAAATATCTAATCCCCTCTGAGAATAACAGACAGAAGAGATGTACTGTATATACAATTTGAGATTGAATCTGGTACATGTCATCAGAATCAAATTTTTTTCAAAGAAAAAAAAAATGTTTTAAACACCTAAAACACTGTTTTGCAGATTTTCAGACAAGATTTGAATATAACATTATGCAGTGTTCTTTGTCATAGGCAGGTAGCTTGATACAAGCTACCTGCGCCTGCTGTCACTTATGAAGGCCATACATGAATTCATTTTCTGTTTAAAATTTGTGTTTTGGATGCTGGGGGTCAGTTGTTGCTGGGAGGAAGCTATTGTTAAGAGAGGGGGACTATTGATGCTGGCTGCTGGGGGATCTATTGTTGCTGCTGGGTGTATTTATGCTGGAGTGTCTATTATTGCTAGGAGAAAATGTATTGTTGCTGCGGGGGTCTATTGTTGCTGGGAGGACTTTTGTTGCTGCCTGAAGGGGATCTATCTTACTGCTTTTCTTGTTATTATTAACACATTCCATACAAATTACTTAGCAGCACAAAATGATATTTGGCTTTGTATTCTCTAAAAGGGGCAGTACAGGGAGATGGGTAAGGGGTGGATCCAAGGGATGGTGCTGAGGTGGGAAAGGGGAGGTGACTAGGGATGACTCAGAAGGGTTGAATACTTGCACCTATTCCCTGAGAAAAAAAAGCCCTATGTATATCCAATAAATGAATATGAAAGAAAAAAAAATTTGAATTTTAGAATCAGATCTTAAACCAGTTTGTGAAACAAAATGCAATTCAAGTAAGTAGGGCTAGGTTCACATCTATGCAGGTTGTAGTTGATGTGTTTTTCCGGCATGTGTTGCGGTGCATTTTGTGTTTCTGAACACATGTTTTTACCGTGTTTTGTGTGTTTTTTTTTTTTGCTAATAGAAAAGATACATAGTTACATAGTTAGTCTGGCTGAAAAAAGACAAAAGTCCATTCAGTTCAACCATTAAAAACAAAAAAACAAAGTTATAATCCTATACCCACAGTTGATCCAGAGGAAGGCAAAAAACCCAGCAAAGCATGATCCAATCTGCTCCTGCAGGGGAAAAAATTCCTTCCTGCAAAGTATAACAGTTCTGTTCATGAATTATGACTTTGATGTGACTTTGATGTGACTTTACACTCTCTGGCACTCAAGTAGCATCAAAGTCATATCAAAGTAGTGCAGGAACCTTTATGTGACCACAGTCGTCACGTACCTGATTGGAGACTGAAATGACGAGGTCGGCCTCACTTGTGTCACTAGCCCTGACCCCACTGTAAGTGGAACAGAGGGTGTCTAGGGACCAGGGGGACAAGAGCGCTAGCAGCTCTTGCAGCTGGAGACTTTGGAAGACTGATGAACCTCCAATTCAGGATCAGTAGTGATATGCAGAGCTGTTATGGTAGGTCACCAGGTGTGTACCAGAGTAAGACATGAAGCTGGGACGGGAGACAGGAGCAATGTCATAGGAATAGCAAAGTCATCAACGGGAGGACAGCGAGGTACCAAATCATAAGCAAGCCAAAGTCAGGAGCAGAGCCGAAGCCAGGAAAAAGTATCAAGCAGGGGAGTAATAAGAGTCAGGTCAGGAACAAGCTGGGTCAGCAACAAGGAAATCACACAGGAAACGGGGAACAGCTGAAGACCAGTCAGCACTCAGCACAGGCAGAGGCACCTTTTAAATGGTCTGTCTGGTGCGTGTGCGCGATGCCGATGCGCACGTCTACAGCCATCGTGTGTGTGGGGGCTAGGGTTAAGAGCTAGAGTTGGGGTTAAATGTTAGGGCTAGGGTTAAGAGCTAGGTTTAGGGTTAGGTTTAGGGTTAGAGTTAGGGTTAGCAGTACTCATTAGGATTAAGAGGAATTTTTAGGGTTAGTGTTTCAACACTAACAATTACCACTAACCGTAACAATTACCGCTAACCCTAACTGTAACTCAATCTCTAACTCTAACATTTAACCCTAACCCTAGCTCTTAACCCTAACCCTAGTCCTTAACCAAACCCTTAACTCAAACCCTAGCCCTTAACAAAACCCTTAACTCAAACCCTAACCCTTAACCAAACCCTTAACCCTAACCTAGCCCTTAACAAAACCCTTAACTCAAACCCTAGCCCCTAACCAAACCCTTAACTCTAACCCTAGCCCCTAACCAAACCCTTAACTCAAACCCTAGCCCTTAACCAAACCCTTAACTCTAACCCTAGCCCTTAACCAAACCCTTAACTCTAACCCTAGCCCTTAACCAAACCCTTAACTCTAACCCTAGCCCTTAACCAAACCCTTAACTCTAACCCTAACCCTTAACCAAACCCTTAACCCTAACCCTAGCCCTTAACCAAACCTTTAACTCTAACCCTAGCCCCTTAACCAAACCCTTAACTCTAAACCCTAGCCCTAACCAAACCTTAACTCTAACCCTAGCCCTTAACCAAACCCTTAACTCTAACCCTAAACCAAACCCTTAACCAAAACCTTAACCAAACCCTTAACCTAACCCTAGCCCCTTAACCAAACCCTTAACTCTAACCCTAGCCTTTAACCAAACCCTTAACTCTAACCCTAGCCTTAACCAAACCCTTAACTCTAACCCTAGCCCTTAACCAAACCTTAACTCAAACCCCAGCCCTTAACCAAACCTTAACTCTAACCCTAGCCCTTAACCAAACCCTTAACTCTAAACCCTAGCCCTTAACCAAACCTTTAACTCTAACCATAGCCCTTAACCAAATCCTTAATCCTAACCCTAGCCATTAACCCTAAACCTAACAGGCGATTTTGGTCACACAAAGGTTCCGGCAGTACTTTGTTACGACTTTCATTCTCATTTGATGCCACTTGAGTGCCAGAGAGTTTAAGTCACATCAAAGTTGCATTACATGATCCAAACTATCATACTTTTCTATTAGCAAAAAAAAAAAAAAAAAAACTCTACAAAATGCAATACGCATCAAAAACTCAACACTTGCATTTTTGGCTCCGTTGAAGTCTAATACACACAAAACACAATTTGCTGCAGAAAAACATCGCTACCTGACCCTTTCCAAAAAACACATTGGCTCAAAGTGCACAGCTACAATTCCAGTAACTATACCGACATTTGTAGATGCTATAACTTTCACGTAAAGCAATTAATCTACATGTATTGGGATTTTTTTCTTAGCAAAGACATGGAGTAGAATAACCTTTTGCCTAAATTTATGACAAAATTGGATTTTTTTATTGAACATGTTTAATAGCAAAAAGTAAAAAATATTGTTATTTTTTTATCAAAATTGTCGGTCTTTATTTGTTTATAGCGCAAAAAATAAAAAACACAGAGGTGATCAAATACCACCGAAAGAAAGCTCTATTTGTGGGGAAAAAAAGACACAAATTTAATTTATGCCCAGTGTTACGACCACGCAAATGTCAGTTAAAATAACACAGCGCCGTATTATAAAAAATGGCCTGGTTTAGGAAGGGGGGTAAATCCTCTGGAGGACAAGTGGTTAATATGAGTAAATAAGCTTAGCCCAATACATACAACACGTACTTCAATAAAAACAAAAACTTTAAGTCATAAATGATTAATTGAAACATAAAGGTTCAGTCTTCGCAGAGGCTTACAGTCATACAAAGACATAATGAGTTCTTAAACAGACGTGATCTCTAATCAATAACTTGTCAAATGGTGACAAACCTGACATTTTAATTTGACAGACGGTGAAATGGTGATGTATTAAAAAGTACATAACACAAATAAACTCTTGTAAATTCCTTGTATGGTTAGTTCTTTGTCCTAGCCAGTCAAACTGTCACTGTCAAGTATCAGAGATAAAGATAATTAATTGTATCTGTGTGTATTCTAATATTAGAAAGTGTGTAGATTAGGGTTGCCAGGCCAACTGTGCAAAACCAAGTTACAGAAATTAAATTGGCTCTGTGTCTGTCTGGAGGTATGCTGTGCACCTGCACTTGTTATCAGCTGGCCATAAATAAAAATTAAATTCCACAGCAATATAAAAAAACAGTGGCTCATCAATGTAGGGAAAGCAAAAATGTGTGTGGGAGGGGCTTATGTAAGAAAAGTTTGTTAACAAGAAAACTTTATGTTGCCCATAGTAACCCATGAGAACATTTGTTTCATTTTAAACCATGCATTGCATAAATGCCAGTTGATATACAAGAGGAAGTTATAAGAACTGTTCATTTATTTTGTTTAAGTTTTCTTTATTATTTCATTATTAGCTTCATTATTAAGTTAAGGATTAAAAAATACAGTTACTAAAAAAACAGCATAAATGGCAGTTGCATTTGTAACTGTATTTTTGAATCCTTAACTTAATACGGAAGCTAATAATAAAATAATAAAGAAAACCTAAACAAAATAAATGAACGTTTCTTTTAACTTCCTTTTGTTGGCTATCAACTGTCATTTATGCAACATTTTTTTTGTATTTTTAGCTTCATTATTAAGTTAAGGATTGAAAAATACAGTTGCAAAAAAACTTTTATATTTATAGTTAGGGAAATATTATATATGTATATTTCGTAATTACAAGTTCCAGCCAACACAGTAGCTGACGTTGTGCCACACCTTCCACCCCCATTCCCTGCCAATACCCCCCCCACAAAAAAAAGCAATTATTAGGATATAGACTGGCCTTTCTCAATCTTTTCAACACAGAGGAACCCTTGAAATAACTTTGCTGTCTCAGGGAACCCCTTCTAAAAATTACTATATTTACAACTCATGATACATTACTGTGATGATTGGTGGGAAGAATGCTCCTTACATTTGTGGCTATTGGAAAGAATGACCCCCTTACAGATAGCTAAAAAGATCAATGGTGTCAATGTGAACATATCTGATAGGTAGAAATTCCTTGTTTCTCAAGGAACCCCTGACAACCTCTAGAGGACCCCTAGGGTTCCATGGAACCCTATTTGACACAACTTGATATAGAGTTTTGTGACAGATGAGCATTGGTATGCCTCTTCTGCCAAAAAAATGTTCCCCTTTCATCTGCAGTTTTTTTCTTTTGCATAGCTTGTCTGTGGTGCATGAGCAGTGTGCACTCTCATCAGATTTCATGCCAACAACAGAGACAAGTGCAATGAAACTCCAGGACAATGAGACTACAAAGTGCATATGCAGCAGCCACATCATATGTGGTTGCCCAATGGGCGAAAAAGGGAAGATGCTGAGTAAATGAATGGAATGGCAATGGTGAGCACAAACCTACAAAGAAGTTAAGAACCAACTGCCCATGGGACTTTTTTTGAGGACATGAAACACAAAAATATAAAATATATAAAAGTTATCAACTTTATTAGAACATATAAAAGTAAAATTAACTAAAAACAGTGAAATGCACCAGGAACAGTTTTTTAATACACTTTTCTATACTTCAATACCTAGTTGAAAAAATGATTTACAAAGAGATTCAATAATTGTGCCAATCAGGGAGGAAAGTTAAAATACATCATGAATCTCAACTCGCTTAATGAAACACGGTTCACTTCATTAGGAGTTTGTTGTTGCTGACAAGGTGTAGCTCAATGTGGTAGCCAAGATTCATTAAAGACAATATTCTCAACACCCGACAATAACCATAGTTGGGAATTCTATCCTGGGGGTTGTGAAGACAGGGGTGAGAAGGCCCAACTGCACTCCAGGAGACAAAGGCAGATGGAAAAGTATGGCTTGGCACACAGAAATTGTACTTACCGTATTTTTCGCCGTATAAGACGCACCTGACCATAAGACGCACCTAGGTTTTAGAGGCAGAAAACAGGAAAAAAAAAATTCTGAACTAATGGACTGCAGACACAGTACAGGAGATGACCAGAGACTGCGAACAGCACAGGGATGACCAGAGACTGCGGACAGCACAGGGATGACCAGAGACTGCGGACAGCACAGGGATGACCAGAGACTGCGGACAGCACAGGGATGACCAGAGACTGCGGACAGCACAGGGATGACCAGAGACTGCGGACAGCACAGGGATGACCAGAGACTGCGGACAGCACAGGGATGACCAGAGACTGCGGACAGCACAGGGATGACCAGAGACTGCGGACAGCACAGGGATGACCAGAGACTGCGGACAGCACAGGGATGACCAGAGACTGCGGACAGCACAGGGATGACCAGAGACTGCGGACAGCACAGGGATAACCAGAGACTGCGGACAGCACAGGGATGACCAGAGACTGCGGACAGCACAGGGATGACCAGAGACTGCGGACAGTACAGATGACTGCTGACCTTTGGGGAGGTGGGGAGCGGGTACCTGAATTTGACAGGTACCCGCTCTTACTTCCGCAGAGTTTTTGTTTGATCTTACCTGTTCCTCGATCCAGCCGCGCGCTGTCTTCCCGGCTTCTGTAATGGTGCTCGGCATGACAGCCGGGTGCCCAGTGCGCATGAGCGAGAAGCACTTGCGCTTTGTGATTGGTCCGGCGTCTTCTGGGATCTGTCATGTGTCCCAGGTACCGCCTTACCATTCACAAAAAGCACCGCTTCTTGCGCATGCGCACTTGGCACCCGGCTGTCATGCCCAGTGCCCAGTGCCCACACTACAGAAGCCGGGAAGACAGCACTCCGCTGGATAGAGGAACAGGTAAGGTCCCGCTGCAGAGCTGAGCGGCCGGCCCGGTATTCTGACACGGCCGCGGTGGAAATACCGGACCGGCCGCTCCATATTTGCCTTATAAGACGCACTGACATTTCCCCCCCAGTTTTGGGGAAGAAAAAGTGCGTCTTATATGGCGAAAAATACGGTATTCATCGTAGGTGGCAATAAAGTCCACTAGCAAAGCAGTACAAACAGGAGGAAGACCTAATAAGAAATGAGCTTGTTTGAATATACACACAGCTAAGACTTCCGGTTCCGGCACCACATGTGAGGGACGCAGGATTTGCGGCTCCAGTCCCACCGGTATATAACACCGGCTCCCTGCACCTGGGGCAACCGCCCAGAGCGCCGAGATTGCCCCCCTTCACCCCGGCGGCACACTGCATGGAGCGGTATCTTCTGTCGGCTCCTCCCGGCTCTGTCCCGTTCCACGGCCCAACATGTGCAGCTCTCCCTCCTCTGCAGTCAAGATGGCGGACGAAATGGAGACAGGTATGCTAGAGGCACAACCAAAGCAGTCTCTGCACCTCAAGAATCAAAAATTCCAGCAGATCAATATGAAAGAATTGCTCAGGCTGTGGCAACCTTACTCTCACCTACTATTACTCTAGTTGTGGATCGAGCAGTATCTACAGGTATAGAACCTGTACTGAGAGAATTAAGGGAATTTCAATTGTTGGCCTCCTTCTAGCTGCCTGGCACAACCACAAGCAGTCTCTGCACCTCAAGAATCACAAATTCCAGCAGATCAATATGAAAGAATTGCTCAGGCTGTGGCAACCCTACTCTCACCTACTATTACTCAAGCTGTGGACTGAGCAGCATCTACGGGTATAAAACAACTCAGAAAAGAATTAGGTGAACAGGCAAAACATTTATCAGAAACTGAATAGTGGTTCTCCGATCTGGAGGATGAAGTTCATTCTGTACAAGTGGATGCACACCAAGTCGCATGCAACAATCCAAGAGTTAGACGATTTAGGAAACCGCTTGCGCAGAAACAATTTACGCATTATAGGCCTCCCTGAATCGTTTAGCTCAGAGCTCTCATGGATCTTTGCTCTACACACATCCCTGCAGCCCTGGGCCTTGCCTCACCATGTACTGTGGAAAGAGAACACCGCCTAGGCTCACCTTTACATGACAGACGCACGCCAAATACCTCAGTTACACAGACAGAGTGGCTATCCTCAACTCATTCCGAAACTCCTGCTCATTACAAATTGAAGGCCATAAATTGTTACTCCCAAGAAGTATCATGCAAGTGAAAAGCCTTTCAGCCTATCTGCTCCTCCCTGCATCAAAAAGGCATCATATTCACTCCTGCTTCTCCCCGCCAGGCTACGGCTCACCACACAAACAGGAGAACCTAAAGCCTTCACACACCCAGAGGAAGCCTCACACTTCTTGCAGACCTACCTGAGTACCATTATCGACTCATCAAATCCCCTATACTCCATCCATGATCCAGGCCCCAGAGACCAACGCAGTCCACGCGAAGATCCACCAAAAAGGCAATGAGTGAACCAACCCTCAGGGAAGCTCCGGCCTCCATAACCTCGCTTCTCCTCAGCTACTTAGTATACAGTACAGTGACTCCTAGGTCACCAAGCTTTGACCTCCATACCGTCTCTATATGAGGCGACAATACCTCTCAAGTTTTGATAAAGTATCCTTACCTCAAGTTGTTTGTACCCACAGTATATTTTGTTTATGATGTTAATATGAGTTGATCCCACTTCTATACTCCTCGCATATGAAAATCTGCACCAAACGAAAGGGAATATCTACAACACAGAAATAACCACATTCCCAGTGCGGGTTATATATTTAGAATTTCCAGTTACACTGATCGTAGCAAGGAGAACCATATGGAAAACTGTGAAGTCCACAGTTGGGCTCTAAATGTGCCTTTCCGACTCTTTCTCTTCTTTTCTATCCTATTCTATCTCTCTGAAGAACCTAAGCCACCACATGAGCACCAGCAACCCCAGGCAGAGCTAATAGCGTGGAAATGGGCAGGAATGGAATCAGTACATGTATATGCAAGTTATGCTCATAAGAATACCTTAGATATATTGTTAAGATGGTATGTATAATATCCTGGAATGTCAAAGGCCTAAGATCCCCCCACAAACCTATGGCTATACTACGCCACTTGAGGCAAATAAATGCAAACATAGCACTACTTCAGGAAACCCACCTGACCCAATCAGGTTTCTCCAGACCATCTCTCTCTTGCTCCGACATGGAGATATAACAAAATTAAACAAAGCTATATCTAAATTTCTCTGGAAGGGGCGCTGTCCTCGCATAGCATTACATAAACTCTTTCTCCCAAGGAGCAAGGGAGGATCTGGTTTGCCTAATCTCAGAGTGTAAAACCTCTCCTGTTTATTAAGAGTGTGCTTAGACTGGCTGTCCCGGTAGTCCAAATATTCCAATTACCAGATCGAAACAGATATGATATACCCATATAGTAATGTCAACTCTCTTCCATCTCACTTAAAACACAGTTTGCTTTTGTGAGACACCCTCATTGCATGGAGAGAGGTCAGACGCAAGTTAGGGGTATCCCCCCGGGTATCCCGGTACCTCCCAATTCAAATCCTTAATTTCCTCTTTCGCAACAGTATGCAGCATATGCAGTCTGGAATACCCATGAACTCGTAGATGTAATGCAACTGTATGATGCTTCTTCTGGATCACCTAAACCACTCCATCATATTTTGACGAGACTAAACCTGCCTTCCCACCATTTTATATATGTTCTACAAGTCCTGAACTATGTGAAAAATCTAGTTCCTGATAAATCTGTCAGATTTAGCAACTCATTGATTGATACCCTCATGCAACGACGAAAGTTCAAGATATCAGACATTTACACCCCACTAAATCTACACTTTTCTAAACCATTAGAACTCTCATCAACAGCGTCTTGGGTCAAAGACTTCCAAAACTCAGTCACAGTAGACCAAAAACTGACAGGATTCAACTCTACTTGCGCCTTCATAACAAAGAATTCTGGCGAGAACAACAACTTAAGATTATGTACTGTGCCTTTATGCCATGTGCCTTTTCAAAATCTACTCTGACCACATCACACTGTCCACTTTGCAACTGTCATATGCCTTCTCTTAAACATAGGCTATGGCTATGTCCTCCCATATCCAGTTTCTGGGACCAAGTAAATCGTTTTGCAGAATTTGTGACTGGAGTACAACTATTGAAAGACTCGTTACATCTTCTCTTCGGCAATCTGGAGCATACATACTCTGACCCCCTCAACTCGCAACACTCATCAGAAAAAATAAACCATGGCTAACAATCTGCTTTTTAGTGGCAAGAAGAGCTATCTTAAAAAAATGGGTCACTAACACACCTGCAACTGTATCGGATATTAAACAAGATCTTAAATATCTCCTCCACAAGGACAAACTAGATCTACTTTCATCATGCCCTCGCAAAGCGGACTCCTTTACCCGAAAATGGCACCTATACATTGCCAGAATTTTTCCTACATCAGAACAATGAGAAGTTCTAACAGGTTCCTAAGTACTGAAAAAACATTACAAGTCCTACAAATATCCACATAGCCTACTGTTTCCAATTGTACGGCATGACTACTATACTATTGTAATTGTAACTTATTCCTTCCTGGTTCCCCCTGCTCAGATGTATGTAATATTTTATAATCGGTTTTTCTTCTGCCATAACATGCCCAGGTAACCAAGTTATGTTCACACAATACGAGACACTCACCTCCTAGGCTGCTCGCCACCATGTCTTAAAGTTATCAAAAGAAAACACATCGGTTCTCTCAGATACCGTTAGCTCCCTTACCTCCCACGTTCTTCTCCAATTCTACCCCCCCCCCCCATTTCCTTTCTCTCCCCCCCTTCGGCTTTCTTCCACCATTTTCTTTTTCCTTTTATTTTCTCAGTTCCTACACACCGCTATACCTCTAAAGAGCGGACATAGTACATACACCTCTTCAGTAACAAGCAACCACTACCCGGGCTTAAAAACGTTCCTTTCAAGCCAGGTATAGCCTGTATTATGCTCATGGTCATCAAAGCAAACATACCATTTGTTCCCCTACAGCGAGCTAAGCTCTCAGTGATGCCACTCATTTTATACTGTGTACTATTATTCTATGCACAAATAACCTGTATTGCATTTTCTTGCTCTCGATTTTTGTTAATGTATTGACAAAACCCACTAAATATTTATTTAAACAAAAAAAGAATATTCACACAGCTAAATGAGATAGAGGAGTAGGTTATCCTACCTGGGAGCCATACCGGTATTAAAGAATCAGACTTCTAGTGGACGCAAAGTGTGTTGTTAGTGTGCAGACCTTTGGTGTCTTAGAGCTCAGGAAGAGGTAGAAATGTGATGGGCAGTTTCAAAGCTCTCTCTGGGCTACAAAGGACCAATTAGTCTCTCAGCTTGGACAGAGGGAGGCAACTGAGGAGGTAATGGGTTGAAATAGCTTAGATGCTACAGTGGCAAACAAGGTAGATCTGTGCCTGTTTCTCTCTTGCTCTTGGTCTGTTAATCACACTTTAAACTCAAAGTATTTTAGCTCAATAATTAGGAAATGTTATGCCAGTTTTACCTGGTGCTGACTTTATCATTCTGAGACTCAACTAGTTCAAAGAAACCTGTACTGAGAGAATTATGGGGATTGCCATTGTTGACCTCCTTCTAGCTGCCTGGCCATCTCTGATCTCGTCATTACTTTTTGTTTCACTGACAGTGGTCACCAGGACCAATAGAGATGTTAAGTCTACTCAGTGAGAACAAAAAACAAGATTAAAAACCTGAAAGGAGTCTAAACTTTCTATATTCTAAAAAAGTGCTCTCCAAACTTGTTTGTCCTTATCTGGCCCTTGGGGCATTATTCTTCCCACTGACACCAATACTGAGGCACCTTTTCTTGCATTGGCACCAAAGATGGGACACTATTCCTTCTACTGACATCAAGAATGGGGAACTATTCCTC